TGCTGCCCTTCGTGGCCCCTCCCCTTCAGGCCCAGTCGCTGCCCTTCGTGGCCCCTCGCTGCCCTTTGTGGCCCATATATACGCCCTTCGCTGCCCCCAGTCGCTCGTGCCCTCAGTGGCCCCATTGCTGCCCTTCGTGGCGCCGCTGCTGCCCTCAGTGGCCCCCTCGCTGCCCTTTGTGGCCCATATACGCGCCCTTCGTGGCCCCCAGCCCTCAGTGGCCCCATTGCTGCCCGTCGTGGCTCCAGTGTAGCCCCGTGCGCTCTATCTCTCTCTCTCTCTCTCACTCCTTTCTCACTCCTCTTGCTCTTGAAGGGGCTGCGCCCAATGCGCGTGGCAGGTCAGGAAGATGTACCCCCCAGAGGGGGTACGATCGAAGACGAAGAGGGCTGGTATCGGGGGTTTGGGAGATACGTGGTGATGTACGCGCGAGCAGATAAGAGCGAACAGTTTCTTTTTGTCCGTTGTGGCAGAACACGGCGGGAGATCTTTTGTCGTTTGGAGCCTTGGGGGCCCTCGCTGGGCGCTGGGGTCGTCAGCAGGCGATTCGGGATGAACGGATGACCCTGGGGAAGGGGTCGGGACTTTTGGAGACCCCGTATGGAACAAATCAAGACATCGGATGTCTGGGATGAGGGACCCACATTCGGAGGTTGCCAGATGACCCAGATCTCCGACGGAATTTTTTTTCAGCTTGCGTTTTTTCCTCGACGTCGCTCCCTTGGGGTCTTCTCTTCGGCCCCCAGGACTATCAAACGCTGACCCGGGACGAGAAACCACTCCCGGGGAAGCGGTCGGGACCCCCCCCCTGGCGGGGCCAGCACGCTGGCGGCAGTCGGAGGAAGTGGACCGGGTGGACCTGGCCGCACGGAGAGCCCCGGGCTTGACGCGCCCAGTGTGGGGCCCCCGGGGGGCCTTTGGGGCCTCGCGGCGGGTGCTCTGGAGGCCACCTGGGCCTCCCTGGCAAAGCCTCCATTCCTTTTCCTATGAATGGCTTCTCCCCGTCGCATCCCGAGGCCAGTTTTTCAGGGCGGCCCGGGCGTTTCGCTTGGGACTTTCTCACCATTTAGGACCCTAACGCTGAAACATTGGCAACAGTTTCACAGATGGAGGGCGGGTCGGTTTCTAAATGTGGCTCTCGCCTCAGCGCCGCGCACATTCGTTTTCAAAGAAATGCAAGAGCTTCACGGATTGAGGGCGAGCGATTTTCAAAATGTGGCTCTCGCCTTATCCCGCGCACATTCGTTTTTAACATTTGCAAGAATTTTACGGTTTCCTATGATCAGCGTACCAAAAATGGTGCTTTGGAAGGATGCCGGATTATGATGGGTGCAACAGTTACGTTGATTCGCGGTTTAAAGTCCCAGGAATGGCGTTTTGGCACCATTCAGGATCGTCAACACGCAACAGTCAGGTTGATCCGTGGCGTTGGAATCTTGAGGACAAAATTTTGCATGCTTTAGGGTCTTCAAACGGTTGCCTTCCAACGAGGCAGTTCCTTCATTGGAAAGAACCCTTGTAGAGGCCTGTGAAGAGGGAGCTCGGAGGGAGGGTTTACTGCAACATCGTTGATGGCTCTTGGGTCTACACTGGTCCTCCTCCTCTTCCTCCTCCTTCTCCTCCTTGAGCTGGAGGCTCACGCAGGCTTCTTGGGGGGGCAGGCGCCCGACCCGTCCTGTGCTGCGGATTTCTCCAGCGGGCGGCGCCCAGAGTTTGAAACGGATCGCAGGGCCGCGCGGCGCGAACGCGAGGGCCCGGGACGGAGAGAGCGCGCCCGTGGAACTCTCCCAGAGGGGGGGGTCCCCCCTTGGGCTGCCCCTCCCGGGCTGCTCTTGGGCCAGGATCGCCGCCAGTTTTGGAGCCCCCCCAGGGCCCGCGGGGCCTCGCACGGGGGTGCTCCGGAGGTCTCCCTGGAGAAGCTCGGGCCCAGGGCCGCTCCTGGCAACACCTGGCTCGGGGCCCCAGGGGCTCCTGAGATCCGACGCCGTCGCGAAAAATCGCGGCTGGAGCCCTGGACCCCACCTTTCTGCTGCCCTCTTCGAGCTGGATCGATCTGCGACGGTCCTGGGGCCCGAGGCGAGGCCAAAACGCCCGGTGCGGAAACATAGCGACGCCAGGACCTCAGGGGCCGGCAGTGTGCAGGGGCCGGCAGTGTCCGTGCGCTGGGCCATGGAGCCCGGTGCTGGGCCCGCGGCCACGAGGCCGGCGGTGGCGTGCAGCTGGCGGGCCCGGGCGAGCGGAACCCCGGGGCCGCGGCGAGCTCCGACAGCGAGCCGGGTGCCGCCCACGAGGCCGCCGCGAGCGCCGCGGGCGGGCCAGAGGCTGGCGGAGGCGGTGGCGGCGGCGGGAACGACTGGGAGGGCAGCAGCTTCGGGCGGCAGGGCGACAAGGACAAGTTCCTCAGGCTCTCGTGTGGGCGTAGCACGCACACATATATATATACACACGCATATATATATATATATACATATATATATACATATATGTATATACCTACTCA